CAATTACTTTGTTGAAGATCAGTTGAGCTCCCTGAGTTTGAGGAAGGAAGAGGAAAATCAGGAAAGCAGTCTAAAATTATATAATGCTAGGAGGTTCTTATCGATAATAATGACCGCGCAACTTATCTTGAAGAGATAGTAAGCAGGAATCAAACTAAAGGACGTGGAGTCAAGCAGTGCAAAAAAGCCAAACGGAACCCAGTACAACAGCTGTCCTACAGCCTCTGATCCTTTCTTTGAACGGATAATCTAAAAATGCATTTTATTGAGGAGTAATGTCATGATACTGACAGGTTTTCTATAATGGTTATTGGATGGATTAGCTATTCATATTGCCTTGCTTGTTCTCTCCAAACCCACCGCTAAGAAATGATAATAATAGGTGATGGTATACAGATAAAGTATGTTTTTATCAGCTTATGTTAGGGCTCGTCATACAACCGTACATGATATAGTGAGTCAATGTTTTTTTAGTCTGATTGATGCAACTATAAAAAACTTGCCATGTTACTCTTATGTTACTTCACCTCTATTCACAAAGCTCTTTATCTTTTCCAAAACCACTTTGTTCATCATTGTGACCAAAGTTGAAAGTACCGTTACAGGCTGTGAATGTAAATAAGTATTTGGCTAGTAAAAGAAGGCAGTCTTGTGAGCCTTCTGGGAAAGCATAGGGAGGAAGACCATAACGGCGCCGATTTTGATATAAGATACACAATTCTAGTGTTGAGGAAAAAAACATCTTTTCGAAAAGCGTTAGAAGCCTCCTGGACTCGCGCCATACCTAGAATGAATAGCAAGAATGAGCATCCCTCTATCACGAATGATCTATAGCCGGTTTTATTATTCTGCGATCGTACAAATTGAGTGCCACTATTTGAGCGCGTCCAAGCCATTTTGCGCCTATACAAATATCGTCGTAAGCAGGAAGAAATGAGAAGTTAGTTCTTGCTAAGCAGAGTGAAAAACTTGATGAGTTGATGTTGATTCTGAAAACCAGTTTCGGTCGTAATGGATGATTCGAATGTACGGAATGGAAGAGATGTTTGGTGGGATGGAATATACGACAAAAGGTGAATGAATCAGTTTCAAACTTCTGAAGAAGGCACTGTGCCAATTTCTCTGAAAACCGGTCGGCATAAAATAGTACAAGATGTGAACCCTCATGTGTTTTCGGTTTTGCTCCATATCTTACCCGGAGAAAAGCCCGCAGAAAACTTACGCCAACAGCGACTGAAGCTGGATAAAGGAAAGTGATTAGACAGGAAACGAACATCGCTTCTTCTCCAGCTAGTAGGTACAAGCTTGTCAAGCCAATGAATCCGTAGGCAATCTGTAGCGCTCGATTTCCTGCATCTTTCCTGATCTTACTAAATCCGGCCCTTACATGCTCTCGCTTTACTTTGGCGGCGTCAACTTTCTTCAGCTGGTCATCAATGGAAGCACCATGCGGCTTGTACAGCCATGCAACCATGTCAGCCTGGAAACAAACGACGATGGGAAGCACAAAAAAGCCGGTCATGACGCATCATACATGAGCCTGCTTTATTCCCCCGATCGGTCCAAGATCTCCAGTAGCGGACGATGGTGGCGGACCTTCTGATGCAGACGGTGGAGGCAGTCCGGCCTTGACACTCATCGACGTCTGTTGTGAGTAGGCTAGAAGATGAACCACACTTCCATCTCCTACATTTATATGATTGATTTCACTCTGATAATGTGATAAGATGTTGACAAAGTGCTCGCAGCGCCCAACTAGCAAAAGAAGTACTTTCTATATACCAGCATTTCAGGAAGTTTGTGAGACAGCATTGTGGCTAACCAATCAAATTGA